TCCATGACCAGCAGCATCGACGATGCCATCCGCGAGCTGCACTGCGAACTGAAGCGAAGCGACAGCAGACGATCCTCCATCCTCGCCGCCAGGGCTGCTTCCGCCTCCGCCGCCGCCGACTCCGACTCCAACCCCAACCACAACTCGACGACGCGCCTGCGCCGCCATCCCTCCAACTCCAACTCGACCTCGTCCGCCGCCGCCGCTGCCAGGCAAAGGGGCTACTCGCCCGCCTACGTCATGTCGCCCACCTCCTCCCTCAGCGGCCGCATGCGCTCCGGCTCCAACGCCTCCGCCGGCCGCCCGGAGCACGACGCCATCAACTCCATCCTGTCCCGTCACGGCCCCGGCAAGAGCTCCGTCAGGAGTGTGCGTTCCGCCAAGCCATCCCTGGCCGAGATCTCCGAGTCCGAACCAATCTCCCTGACCCAGCACGTCCTCGACCAGGTCGACGCAGTGTCCCCGGCCGAGCAGCACGCCGCCGCCAGCTCCCGCAGCATCATCGAGCAGGACGCCGTCGGCCTGCCGCACACGGACGAGTTCCACGACATGCTCGAGGGTGGCTTCCGGAGCCACCGGGCCTCGAACCTGGTCCTCGTCAACCCGGACCTGCCCTCGAGCTCCGACTACGACGAGAGCGAGCACGAGCGCGATGCCTACGACCATGACGACCGGCCCATGACGGCCAATTCTACAAATACCTTCCAAGTGGCCCAGGATGCATTTGTCGACTTTGACGGCGCCCACTGCGAGACGGATACGGAAGATGATCGTTTCGCTTCTACCATCGACATGGGGGCGCCCTCGCACAAGCGAGAGAGCCTTCCCGACATGCACCAGCATCAGCACCAGCAGCCTCATCTTCTTCCCCAGCTGCCCCAATCTTATTCCCAAGACCAGGCCTACGCCCATACCTCAACCCTACCTCCTATCCTTGATGACGATCACCTACCTACTCCCCAGCCCCCCGCGACTGAATTTGTGAGGCCGCAGTCTTATTTCGATGAGCAAAGCGGCCAGCACATGCTGTTCTATCCAGCCCGTGTCCCTGCCATGCTCAACCTGCCGCCCAAGCTGTCCAACAAGCCCAAGGCCGCCGACCGCAACCAGAGACGCTCCCAGCTCCTGGGCGCCATGATGCAGCCCAAGAGAAAGTCCGTCGTCCCCGACCTCGACAAAATC